AGGGTTCGGATCCCACATACAGACCGGCCGCTCACTGGCTGAGCGAGGTGTGGGCGCGACACCGAGGGTTGTGATCCCGTTGCCGGTCCTGGTCCGGTACGGGCACGACACTGAGGGTTGCGATCCGTTGCCGGTCACGAAAAAAGACAAAAAAAAAAAAAAAAAAACTATGAATTTAAAACCTCTCATGCCAGCTTGAGCACACACCCACCCTCACATCTGCAGTGAACCCTAGTGAGGAATAAGCAGTTGAAGACAGGAACAGGTACTTGCTGGGTGGGACAAGTTGGGAGGACTTGTGACAGGTCACACCAGTACTAAGAAGTGCTCCTTCCTCTCACCCTGAAGTGGTTTGGTGGGGCTGGGCCTTGGCCAACCAAGGCTGGGCCCATTCTGTCTTCTTGCCTTCCTGGCAGTGACAGTTCAACCCTTTTCCTGTCCTTCTGCAAGGTAAAAGTTACATTCCAGCACCACAGCATAAAGATTGGCGGACTGCCGGTCCATTTCCTCCTACCCTAGAGAAAGAAAGCAGGTCTGCAGGAAGGAAGGCTGCCTCCTTCACCTTCCCCTGTCCACTGAGTTAAAGAGGTGGTTGGTGGCCAGAGCAGATGGGCCTGGCCAAGGTGCCTGGGTTGGCAGTGAAGCAAGCAACATGGCACTTAGCTAAACCTGGACCATATGCAGTGAGGTCAGGATTCAGGAAGAGGGGAACTCAGGAATGTCAGTCCCCCTTCTGTTTTCTCCTAGTACCTGGATGAGACCCCCTATCTCAGGCCCCTTTCCCCTGCCCTAGGTCAGCAGTCATTTGGAAAGAGCTCTGCTGCTGGCAACATTTCTGTGGCTCAAACTCATTGCTGGTCTACCTGCCACTCCCCTCCCTGGGTAAGGGTGGCTGAGAGAAGATCTCCTGAATACATTTATTTTACTCAATATATTGAAAAGTGATATAAAAAGATAAATGTTAACGTATTTGTATATTTATAATGGTTCAGAGTAGAGTGTTCAGATATTTTACCGGTCTGACGTGTAGTTTTGGGTGAGAAATACAAGAAGGGATATATAGTGACAAGACTTTCAAGCCAAAAGTGGAATACATAGTCAAAGGATTTTGACATTACCCTAGGTGGCTGGAGGCAGGCTGGAAAACGTCATTTGACATTATAGAATTCCCAGGACACTAAAATAGTTTGTGGGGACACAGGTTAGAATATTTTAAACTACCACACTTATCGTGCATATGGTAAACTATGAGTATGTATTTGCAAGTGATGGTTATTTCCTAATACCCAGGAGGCAGCCATGTGGGCCACCCTTTCCATTGCTCTAAGACCAAGGGAGTGAGTGACCAGCAGCGTCCAAGATGGTGGCCCTACCAAGGAGCAGGAGTCCCAGGAGGCAGCCATGTGGGCCACCCTTTCCATTGCTCTAAGACCAAGGGAGTGAGTGACCAGCAGAGTCCAAGATGGTGGCCCTACCAAGGAGCAGGAGTCCCAACTAACTTCTGCTCACTCCTCTCCCACCAACAGCCTACACAGACTTCTTCCTGCCACTGCTGAGTCGCTGTCCCTCTGCCATGGGAATAAAGAACAAGGATGGGGAGACCCCGGGGCAAATTCTAGGTTGGGGACCTCCCTGGGATTCTGCTGAAGAGGAGGAAGAAGATGAGGCTTCCAAGGAGCAGGAATGGAGGCAGAAGCTGCAAGGCGAGCTGGAGGACGAGTGGCAGGAGGTCATTGGGAGATTTGAAGGTGAGGAATCCATTGCCATCCACAGCTGCCCTTCTTTCCCGTTGGCCACTTTTCCTCTGCCCACTACATGAATGTTCCACACAAGACTCCTCTGCCCCTTCCTCTATACTTGTCTCTCATGCCCCATCACCTTCTCACAGCCTCTCTCTGATATGCCCCATCCCACCTCCCAAACAGATGACGCTTCCCGTGAGGCCCAGGAACCTGAATCCTTCTCAGCCTGGTCAGAGCGCTTGGCCCGGGAACATGCCCAGAAGCACCAGCAGCAGCAGCGGGAAGCAGAGAGATCCGGCAGACCCTCACGGGCTGAGGGCTCCAGTCACAACTGGCGACAGCAGGAGGAAGAGCAGCGGCTCTTCCAAGAGCGATCCCAGGCCAAAGAGGAAGAACTGCATGAAAGCCGATCCAGGAGGGCCCAGGAGGCTCAAGGGGACCAAGGGCCAGAGCCAGCCAGGGCTGGGCCTAGGGCAGAGCACCCCAGAGGGGCTGGAAGGGGCAGCCTCTGGCGCTTTGGTGATGTGCCCTGGCCCTGCCCTGGGGGAGGAGACCCAGAGGCCATGGCTGCAGCCCTTGTGGCCAGGGGCCCTCCCTTGGAGGAACAGGGTGCTCTGAGGAGGTACTTGAGGGTCCAGCAGGTCCGCTGGCACCCTGACCGCTTCCTGCAGCGATTTCGAAGCCAGATTGAGACCTGGGAGCTGGGCCGTGTAATGGGAGCTGTGACAGCCCTTTCTCAGGCCCTGAATCGCCATGCAGAGGCCCTCAAGTGACCCTAGGGAAAGAGCGAGAAACTGGGATGCAGCCTCAGGGGCAGGTAGAAGGAAGGGTGAGGACAGGTGGAGATAACGAGGAAGAGTCAGATGCTGCATGGCAGAGGATGAGGGGTGGGAGCAGAACTTGTAACGAGCAGGGTTGGCGGGATAAGGGCCACCAACATTGCTCCTTGATTCTGCCATTTCCTAATAAGACCTGGTTCCACATTTCACTCCTGCCGTCTCCTCTGCCTTGTTCCATTGCTGTGGTTTTTATCACCCATGACATCTCCTTTCCCGCCCTGCCTGCTGAAACCCACAGCTCCTACACACCTGCAACACACACGCAGGCGCTAGTGCATGCCCTCAGCTAACAACAAGAATCCCCTGCTTGCCCACCCTCAAGCCAGCTCTAAAAAGGCCCAGTTTGCCCTCATCTCACTCTGCTCCCTACACTGGGGTCCGTCCACTCTGCAGTCTGCAGCTGGAGAAATAGATGTGAACAGAGGCCAAAAGGGGAACAAAACCAGTTTCGCTCCCCTCCCCAGCTCCCCAAGCAGAACCACATCCTCCTCCCCACTTAACACCCTCTTCCCCCATCACAGGGCTTTCCCTTTGCTGAGTCACTGAAGGAGCCGAGTTGGGGGCAGCTAGGGCTGGGGGGCCATGAGGAGGCTGGGGGAGGACAGGGGATAGAAGCAGAATGGATAGAGGAAGAGTTCTGTGGGGGAGTGGAATTTCGGTTGCTAAAATTAGGAGCAGGGGAAGGAGGCAGAAAGAGCCAAATTATGTAACCTGGGTTGTCTGTTCTTGGGCAACCAGAGATCCACACCCAAGGCCAGCCAGGCTGCTAGGCTCCCGGCTATTCCTGCCCTCTAGTTTCTCAGTCTCCTCCTCCAGGGCCCCAATCGGTTGTCTGTTCTTGGGCAACCAGAGATCCACACCCAAGGCCAGCCAGGCTGCTAGGCTCCCAGCTAGTCCTGCCCTCTAGTTTCTCAGTCTCCTCCTCCAGGGCCCCAATCCTCATTTCTTCCTTCCAGCTTCTGTCCCCATCCCCAATCCCCATGCTTCATCTCTGGGCAGCCTAGGCTTTGCCTTCCACATAAACATCTCCTTTTCCAAGAACTGGTGATGAAGTCCTGACAGGTGGAGAGAGAGGGTCTGGGATCCCCATAGAGGAGGGAGGTATCTCCATCTCTCCCACTATTCATTACTCAACTCCCCACTCTAGCTCCCTGGAAACTAGGATAGGAAATTGGAGAGTGCACAGTCTGTGTTTGTCTACATCAGAGGATCTTATCAGAAACTTCTTTTTCAGGCTTTGAGCCCAGGTTTATACAGGAGAACCCCAGGAGTGGAAGTGGAAGGTGGTAGAGGACAGGGAGGGGAAGCTTCTGGAAACATGGGAACATGGGGTGGGCATGAGACCCTCGCAGAAGACAGAGAGCCTGATGTTAGGAAGAGGCCCAAGGCCTCCAAAGGACCAGGCAGATTTTCAGGGGGCAGGAGGGGGAAGGGCTGGTAAGAAAGGTCCTGTGAGAGAGGAAGCTGCTGTGATTCAGAGAAGAGACTTCAAGCTGTGAGTGACCTTGGTTTCCGGTTCCTCTCACAGGCTGGAGATTTCGGAAGTGGCATGCAAAGAGCCTAGGTTTGGAGTTGGGGGGAGTTGGGTTTAGGATCCCTAGGCTGGGGGTTGAGAGGTAAGAAAAGAAAACTTCAGTGTCCAAATTTGTTCCTCCACCCGGAAGGCTTCTCTCTGGTTTCAAAGCACATCATTTCCCTCTCTGTGAGAGTTACATAAAACCAAAGCAAAATAAGCCCTGATACCTTGGCCCCCAGACCTGCCTCTTTTCAATGTCCCTCCCTGGTGTCTGGCCCCCAGCCCTAGTGGGGGTTCCCCTGAGATGAGGGCTGTTCACTTTCTCTGACCACATGGTTTCCGCTTCCGTGTGTCTTGTTTCCTAGGCTGATAAAAATACTGAGCCCTAGAGGCCCTGGCTTCCTCTGACCCCTTGAGGCCAAGACAGCAGGCATCCTGTCCACCACAGTGGGGTGGGGAGGGGGGCCCAGGGATCCCCAAGAGGTGACTCAGTGCCTACCATGAAACACTGGGGAGGGGGAAGCATGTGTATCTTTTCTCTAGAGCGGGAACCAGGAGTTTAGTCTCAGTGGAGGCTGCGCTGGAGTTTGATTTGAGAAACAAGATTGGGAAAGAGACGAGTGAGATGGAAAGGCAATTTAGGGATTGAGATTGGGGCAGATTTGGGTTAAGTTAGGAAAAAGATCTGGGAGAAGCTATTCAGTGCAGGTCAACTGAGCATCTTGTAGCCCAAAGATACATTCAAACCCTGCTTCAAGTTTACAGTCCAGTAGGGGAGGCAGACCCATACCTAGTTAACTGAGTCAAGGCTTGCTGAGTCAACTCCACAGTAAGGTTCAGTAGCTACAGAAAAGGGGCAGGTGAATTCCATCTGAAAACATTGGAGGGGAGGCTCTGAGGATGAGGGAGAGCATTTGAATTGGCTCTGATGAGTGAGTAGGATTTCAGTGGGTGGAAGGAGATGGAGAAGCTCTGGAGGTAAGTAAAATGGCTGGAGCACAGGCCGAGGAGTCAGAAAACCACAGGATGTTCAGGGAAGATGAGTGTCCTGAGGCAGAAGCAGCACAGGTATGAGGGAGCATGTAGTGAAGAAAAGACCACAGAATGCCCGGCTCAGGGATTTGGACTTTACCCTGTGAGCAGTGGCACTGGTGACAGCTGTGAAGAAGAGGGAGAACAGGGGAGCACTGCAGAGTGCAGGCAAGGGATGAAATAGAAAACAACTGTCGATGGAAAACCAGTGTTCCCCCCCGAGAAAAGAGAAGAACTGTCTGGTTTTGGATACCTACTATCAGAGTGCAGGCAAGGGATGAAATAGAAAACAACTGTCGATGGAAAACCAGTGTTCCCCCCCAAGAAAAGAGAAGAACTGTCTGGTTTTGGATACCTACTATGTGTTACACAGTCCTCTTCCTAACATCAGCAATCCTTTCATCATCTGTTCAAAAGGTGGGTGGTGGGTCCCCATTATAAAGATGAGAAAAACCGAGGCCCATAAACGTACTGTAATTCACTTAAGGCCACAAAGCTAAGAAGTAGTGGAATTAGCATTAAATTCATCTGACTCCAAAACTCGTGCACTTTCTACTTAAGTCCCAATAACTCCCTTAACAGCATTAAAAGAGGGAACAAATTTTATAAATTCAAGGGGACATTAGGACATGACAACTGATTGGCTGGTGGCAGTGGGAAAAGAGTCTGACATAACTCCAAGTTTTGAGACTTGGGGATTGGAAAGATGATGACTTAAATCAAGAAGGAGGAGCGTGGCCAAGGGGCAAGGTGAGGAGTTCAATTTCAGATATTCAGTCAGTACGTTTTTGTTTTTTGTTTTTTTTTTAAAAAGATGACCGGTAAGGGAATCTTAACCCTTGACTTGGTGTTGTCAGCACCACACTCTCCCACATGAGCAAACCAGCCATCCCTATGAAGGGATCTGAACCCGTGGCCTTGGTGTTATCAGCACCACACTCTCCCACATGAGCAAA